CCCCAAAACCCCAAAACCCCAAAACCCCATAAGACTCATTATTTTCCATATTAGAAAAGTTGTATTAAGATAAATGAATCATTATTTAAGAGTGTCTAGTTTTATTAATCATAGATCGCATTATCAGTAATAATTACAAAAGCTCGTTTCTAAGGTCATATTTAATATCACTCATTCATTCTATTATTCCTGCTATATTTATTGCATCATGAGGTTTAATCTCTATTTATTGGCAAGGTCTGTTTCATAGGCAACTAAACTTTCCAGTATTATACTGTCTAGCAGATTGTGCTCACACTATGGTTAAACTTCTATGTATGATAAACCATATGTCTTTGTGAAATGCAAAGCCTACTCATAAGATACTTCTCTTTATTCATTCCTATCAACTTTAACTCCCATTATCAATATTTGAACCTATTTCGTTTTCTCATAAGTACCATCATTATAGTTGTGGAATCCAATAAATGCTTAGGTCAGTAAATCAAATGTGTCTTTCCTGCATATATCAAATAGAAATATGTGGCTTATATCAGAAGCATACCTAAACATCATCAAGAAGAATTTCATAGTCACTACATCTTGAACAATAATTCTTTGGATTTATACATGAGCATTAAGACTAATTTTCTTATCTTTTTGTTCTATTATACAGAGTCCGAATAGTCTTAATTCCTGAATAATTGTTGCTATTGGCTCAGGAGTATTATAATCTGCTTTTATCTTATCAATGTATGATTGCACCCTATGCGATAATGTCTTATGCAGCAGGGGACTATAGGCGAATTTCTCAACTAATTTTGTTTAATTCTCAATGGGAGGCATAGATTCTGCCTCTGTATTTTCATTATTTATCTATAGATCATTGTCATGTATTACTGCTTAGCTATTACCCATTGTTTAATTACTTTAATATACTCTATTACTTTTAAATATTACTTAGTTATTCTAATAATATCGAATTAAGAAAGTTATTCTATACAGTCTTCCGGGGTTTTGGGGTTTTGGGGTTTTGGGG